CCTGTCTTATCTCGGTTTTCAGCCGTGCACCTTCGGTGGCTGCAAGGTCCCTCAGGTCCTTAGCCGCTTGGACGGCTTCATCAGCTCTTCTTTGATGACCTTTCGATTCTCTTTGAAGGATTCCGATGTTCTCGTCCCGCTGCTTTAGTTCGTTTCTGAGCTTAAACACCTCGTTTGTGTTTGTCAACAGTCGCTGCGAAGCTTCCGCAAGTTTATTCGCATATTCGTCTCTCTTGGCATCCGCTTCGGTGACCTTTAGCTTCAATGAGTCGCATTCATCCTTTAATTCGGCTAAGTGCCGTAACCTTTCCGCTGATTCTTCCGACATGCTTTCGTTCAATTCGCTAACCGCGAGGTGACCTTCCATTTCTCTGTCATCGACCATTTTCAAGTATTCCTCTGCGAGTTCTTTTTGGCGCTCATATTTGATTTTCCATTCGTCCGCTGCGTTTTCCAAGTCGCCCTGTTGCTGCTCCAGTTCATAAATACGAGCGTCAAGGGATCCTATTCGGTTTTGATATTCCTGCTTCTTTTTTGTTGCCTGACCTTCCTTGGCTTTAAGTTCCTCTTCCAATTCCTTGACACGTCTTTTCAAAGTTGACGTGGGACTGTTCGGTGACGGTGGCCGAACATTGATGACCTTTCCTGTTTATGTCCGTTCGATAAGGCGTTCCGGTATATCTTTGAATGGCGTCTTGCCTTCAGCGCGATCAGCCTCTTTCATTGCAGTTTGGAAGGACATATTTATCGTTGTTTCATCGTCCGTGAAGTACGATTCGTTCGATTCGTCTGAGACCATTGGAGTTGCCCAAAGGTCATCACCTGCAGTCAAATCGTTCAGTGAAAGGTCATCCAGTCCCAATTCAGCCAATTCTTCTTCGGTGACCTTTGTGCTTCCAATGTTAGTTTGAGCCAGGTTCACAACTTTATCCTGCTCATCGATTCTGACAGTGGTAACATCCAACTGTGATGTCCCAAGTGCTTCCGCTTCCTTTTTTGTGGTTCCATTCTCCCCAGTGACCTTTGTCTGGTACATCGGTTCACTTCCCGCCACAGACGCGGGAGTGTGTTTCTGGTTGTCACTGGAACTTTCCTGGTTGGCGACCGCCTCGAGCGCCTTCTGATAAGTACTATCAGAGCCTCGTGAATCCTTCTTCTCGAATGCCTTGGGCGCTCGAGTGTTCCGCTCATGTCCAACTGGACGTGAGTATGTGTGCAAAACTTTTTTGTACGGGTTTGGTGCACCTTGCTGTGAGCTACGGGAGCTTGTGCTTCCCTGGCTGCTGGTAGATGTGGGTTGCTCCTTGTCTTTATCCATGTTGATCGGATAACTTGGACGCTCCTGTCAATTGTTCTCACAAAGCACGGTATTGTATGGTTTAAGGGATTGCCCTAAAGGTCACTTTATACTTCGAAATTTTTCTAAGTCCCTGTTAAAGGTCACTTTTCGACTGAAAAATTTCGGCTAAGTTCCGTTTAAAGGTCACTTTTTTGATAAAAAGTTCGAGAGATTTGCCCTAAAGGTCACTTTCCAGACAAAACTTCGAAGCCGTTTTTATAGTTCAGCACATTTACGAATGAAATTATACAGCTGCTGGTATCGCTACACACTTAATCGTTCAATTTCGTTAAAGGTCACTGTTGGCCACTTTTTAGATCTTAAAAGTCACTTCCAACTCAACTCAGCTCAAAAGGTCACTTTCCGGCTCAACTTCAGGTTAAAGGTCACTTTCCAGCTTAGTTAAAGGTCACTTTCAAGCTCAATTTCAAGTTCAAAATCACTTTCAACTCAATTTGTGTTAAAAGGTCAATTTCCAACTCAATTTCTGTTAAAAGGTCACTTTCCAGCTCAATTCAATCAACTTAAAAGGTCACTTCTCCCTCGATTCAAGTTAAAAGGTCACTTTCCCGCTCAATTATCTCATCTCAAATCAAATTTCCCATTACGAATCGAGTTCAACGGAAAATCCCCATTCGGGTTGTTTACTTCGTTCTGATTGGTCCGCTAGCTCAAATTATTCAGTTCAAATTTCGACCAATCGCAGCTCAGATAACTGACCAATCACGATAGTCCATTTAGTTTTTATATTAGCCTGACGTCACGGTCAACGGCCAGACATGCGCGCCGTGTGCAAAACTCCGCCTACGTCTACTCAAAGCTCAGTACCGGCCAATAGAATTTGCCAATTTTACCAACTAGCCAATCCCGTAATTAATAACAGTTTTCTACCTGTTGACCGTCCTTTTCATGGGGAAAATGATCCAGATGATCCAGTTCTTCTCCAAATCCGTTCCCGCGTCGCCGCTGTTCCGTAGCGTGCCTCGCGCTATCAGTCTGCTACTGTGCCGGCTGTGCCGTAGCAACAGCAGTAGTGCTCTACTACCAGTTTGGAGGAGTCTGATCTCGTCTTTTCCCGTGCGCCCCTTTCGGCGCTTCGGCTCTTGTGCCCCACGGCTTAGGCTTCGCTGAAGCCTTGCCGAGTATCAGTGACACCAGTGTAGGTCTTCGCTGAAGACTCTACACCGAGGAACACTGACGACTGAAAACTCTTGCACTCTTGCACTGCAAGGGAGACAGCACAGGTCTTCGCTGAAGACACTGTAGCCGAGACCAAAGCAGGAATCCGCGTCCGATGGGGAGATTGCACCGCTTGTGGTGTGCGCTTTGCTGTTGCACAGACCTGTGCCTTACTGGTCACGGATAACACGTCAAATAACAGGCCAACTTTGCCTGACACAATTCAAATCAGAGAACCGCTGTCGGCTCTGCTACCATCTAATGCTAGATCCAGAATGGATCCAGAGACAGAGACAGAAACGGGATCTATCCTGTGGAGTGAGCTACGCAGAAGTGTAGCGAACTATGCGGAAACACAAAACGTCGCACCGCGTATAGCTGACTTTTAATAATATTGAAAGTCTGAACAACAGAAATCAACATAATGATCGGCGCAGCTCGATCGTAAAACGTAGAGCCAATTCTGCACTGTGCGCAGCACGTGCTACGCCGCGCCCACTGATAAAGCGCAAGCCAATCAGAAGCGAGACACAACACAGACCGTAATCCATGGCGTAGCGCCTAGCGCCACAGGCGTGAACGCTAGTGAGCCCTCGTCTCTTAACCGTTTGGCTTGCAACCAATGCTTAAGTCTATGGGAAAGCAAAATTGGCTAGAATTTGTGCTGTTCGCCATAAACAGCCACAGGTTTAGTATCAAAAAGTTTAAAATTTTTTTCTACACCTTTGGATATGCAACGAGTATAGCTGCACTTTGATATTCACGGAGCGCGAGCGTCTGAAAGTAGTGAGTAAGCACCCAAGTTTTAGTGGTGGCGTGTCGTTGCGAGGTTATTTTGAACCGCGAACCGACTGATCGGTTCAACCTCTTTTTGTCGTACATTGTATGAACATTACAGAAATAATTCAGTAAATAAGAAATCTGTTAGAAAATCATAGTTTAACGGGTGTGCATAAGTGGAATTTAACTAAATTAGCAAGAAGTACCATTCAGACTGTACCGACAACAGACTAAAAAAGCGCAGGTTCGCAATTTTTTAGGCGCCCCGGGGCGATAATTTCGGGGGAGCTTTTATTATTTCGTGATCTACGGTAGGGGGCGTTTAAAACCGCACGGGGTGTGTTAATTTCGGGGGGGGGGGGGCGTTAATATCGGGTTTCACGGTAATCAAGAAAAGGCAAGCCAGATACCGGCTCCAGTGAAGTTAACCCGTTGACGGGCATTGGCGTCAGGGCGCAACATGTTGTTCAGAATTTTTTTCCAAGTGATCGCGAACGGTTAATTCATATCGCTTTGCATGATTAGCAACAAGGGACCGTCAAGCACCAGTAAAAACAACTCAAACGTGTATCTTGAGTTAATTACAAACTACAGGTATCCGAAAATGGCTAATTTCGGACTTTCTGACCTCTCGCCGATCTTGCTAATTAACTAATTAGTGGATGGATAATTAAAACCGGAGATAAATCAACAAGGTAGAAATGACAACGCTTTATTCAAAAATGCTCAACGCAGCTTCTATAAGTTGAACCACAGATGACCGCAGTCCGTCAAAAACGTGTGTTGCGTGCCAACACCATTGCCCATGAAAGGTTATGAATTCACGGGCGGGTGCACTTTCGACAGATACTTATCATTACGTGTACCGGTGTACAAGTACGTAACCGGAATAATATACTTACCGGTACTATTGGTTCGGACGCCAAACATGCACCATGCGGGTTTAGTTGTTTCAAGTCGGCAAAAATGGGGATTCTGAACACCACCCCGGGTCGGTCGGCATGGTAGACGTGATTCTAATTCTACCGCCAGTGTAGCACTGAGAAAAATGGCAGCACAACACTGCTTTCTGCCGCGTTCTGCCTTCGACAGCGGATAAGGATACACCGCTTGGGCAAGCAAAGCTGTGAAGCCGCGTAGCTTTAAAAAACAAGCAGAGTATAAGTTTTAACCAGTGTCGGGCGACTGGGAACTGTAATGACCACTTTAGTGATGTTGACCTTTGCGACAGCCTTGTGTAGGTTACATCCGGCTGTTATTCGCTTCATTCGAAAAAGTGCGAGTGACCACTAATATCTGGTTCGGTGCCAGTTGCCTGTGCAGATCACCAATTCCTCCGCTTTCCCCATACCGGCAACTGCGGCCACATCCAGGAAACGCAAACCCAAACAATGCTCGCAGTGTAAAGGCAGCTCGGCGTGTCAGAAATGCAGTAAGCACAATGCTAAAATTTCACAAAGACTGCTTCGTTAAGTGCCATAGGAGAGCGTGATGAAAGTTTTGGAAAGTAATAGTGTCAGTATCGCTTGTTTTCTATGTTTTTTATATGTAGCACTGGTCAAAATGCAGGAAAACAGGTTCTGGCAGTTTTTAATTTTTTGCTGTCCAGTGGTCAAATTGTTGACCACTTCTGTACTTCTGTTTTAAAGTAATTTTTTTGTGCTACTTCATGAAGTAAGTGTTTTTCATTTATTCCTGCTAGTCTAATTGTTACAAAAATAAGCATTTATATGCAGTAGACCGTTCATGGGCATTGGCGTTGGCAAACACCCTAGTCACCACCGCTGACCTATGGTCAGCACAAGCTCTCAAAAAATTCCATATCTTAATTGATTTTTTTCATCGAGAAATCCCGATTTTCAAAAGAAAATTCGGACACCTTCGGGAACTGCCCGCTGGAGGGTTAAGAACCGTGACCGCTGAGACTGTGTTTGTCGAAGGTTTATGTATACCCCGATTGCAGCAGATTGGAAGATATGACTGTATTACAGTATAGGGACGTAATGTTTAGTTATTATTCAATGATTTATGAAAAACTTTCGTAAGTTTAATTTTGTTCTGTTGCTGTCGCTGTTGTAAAAAGATCATTGTGTGGTAGATTATTAAATACACATCTAACAGATCACGCGACAGGAATTTTTCGGCGCATAGCAAGTTACCTGTGCTTCCGAAAATTTCCTTGTTCAAAAATATTTCAGAAAAAAAAACGACAAGCAGAAAAAAGCATTAGCAGTACATCTAGAACGTACGCAAAAGGCCCCAGCGCAATGCACCAGTGCCCGGTTGTCACTGCGACCTGAAATCACGACAAAATTAAGCTTTTTAGCATCTAGCCGAGAAATTGTTGGCCAAAATATGAAACAAATCCAGAAAATTTCGCGAGGCGCCGTTTTCCGGTATCTTCCTAAAGATCTTTGACTAACTATTCCAGCAGTGAATAAATGTGTCGATACTTTGCAAATCGCTGATAGCTGGCGTCCGCTCTCTGAAATGCTTCAGTCCTTAAAGCTCTTTTCACCTCGTCCATGGTCTTGACCTCGAAAATCTGGAACAGAACCTCGTCGGTGAGTTGGGGCAGCTTAATCCACACAATTGGTCGACCGCATCCTCCTATGCGCGTTGTATCTCCCATCGAGCTTTCGGTATGGCTTAACTTACCAGCAGTTAGCCTCGGAACGTATCTGATTAAAGCATCCTTTCGCCAATCAAAAAGAGAACTAACGCGGTTTCCGCACTCC